GGTACCCGTCACACAGGGAGCTCGGTGGTACCCATCACGCACCCAGCTCTGCGGTACCCGTCACACAGGGAGCTCGGTGGTACCCGTCACACACCCAGCTCGGTGGTACCCGCCACACAGGGAGCTCAGTGGTACCCATCACACACCCAGCTCTGTGGTACCCGTCACACAGGGAGCTCGGTGGTACTCGTCACACACCCAGCTCTGTGGTGCCCGTCACACACCCAGCTCTGCGGTACCCGTCACACACAGAGCTCGGTGGTACCCGTCACACAGGGAGCTTGGTGGTACCCATCACACATGGGGAGCTCTGCGGTACCCGTCACACACGGAGCTCGGTGGTACCCGTCACACACAGAGCTTGGTGGTACCCATCACACATGGGGAGCTCTGTGGTACCCATCACACACAGGCAGCTCTGTGGTACCCGTCATCCGGGGAGCTCCATGGTACCCGTCACACATGGGGAGCTCCGCGGTACTTGTCACCTCGGGAGCTCCGTGGTACCCATGACACGCAGGGAGCTCTGTGGTACCCGCAGTACCCATCATCCTGTGAGGGCTCTGCGGTACTCATCACACATGGGGAGCTCCGTGGTACCCATCACACCCAGGGAGCTCCGTGGTACCCACAGTACCCGTCACCCTGTGAGGGCTCTGTGGTACCCGTCACACCCGGAGGGTTCTGGCCAGCGACAGGACCAGAGGAAACGGCCACAAACGGAAGCATCGGAAGTTCCTCAGGAACTTGAGAAAACGTTTCTTGCCAGCGAGGGTGCCAGAGCCCGGGCTGCCCGGCGAGCCTGGGGAGTCTCCTTCTTCGGAGAGCTTTAACACCCGCTCGGACGCAGCCCGTGCCAGGTGACCCTGCGTGAGCAGGGGGTTGCACTAGGTGACCTCTGAGGTCCCTTCCAACCTCAACCATTCTGTGATTCTGTGATTCTGTGATTCTGTGGTACTCGTCACATGGGGAGCTCTGTGGTGCCCATCACACCTGGGGAGCTCTGTGGTGCCCGTCACACCCAGGGAGCTCTGCGGTACCCGTCACCCGGGGGAGCTCCGTGGTATCCATCACACCCGAAGAGCTCTGTGGTGCCCGTCACCTGGGGGAGCTCCATGGTATCCATCACACCCGAAGAGCTCTGTGGTGCCCGTCACCCGGGGGAGCTCCGTGGTATTTGTCACACCCAAAGAGCTCCGTGGTGCCCGTCACATGGGGAGCTCTGTGGTGCCCATCACATGGGGAGCTCCATGGTACCCATCACCCAGGGGAGCTCCATGGTATCCATCACACCCGAAGAGCTCCGCGGTGCCCATCACATGGGGAGCTCCGTGGTGCCCGTCACCCGGGGGAGGTTGGCGGTCCCTGTCACATGGGGAGCTCCACGGTCCCCGTCACCCAGGGGAGCTCCACCGTCCCCATCACTGGGGGAGCAACTTGGTCCACGTCACCCAGGGGAGCTCTGCAGTCCCCATCACCGGGGGAGCTCGGCGGTCCCCGTCCCCCGCGGGAGGTGGGCGGTGCCCACGGGGCGCTCACCGCCGTCGGTGAACTCCTGCAGCAGCCCGCGCGCCTTCTTCTTGAGGTCGTCGGCGTGGTGCACGAGGCCAGTGCGGAAGCGCTCCTTGTGCCGCTGCAGCATGGCCTCGCTCTCGCGCAGCGTGCGCTCGAACGCCAGCCGCTCGCCCTCCAGCGCGCCCAGCAGCCGCAGCGTCTGCGGGGGCACGGCGCAGTGCCCAGGGCGGGTGCGTGGGCGCGGGCGCGGGCGCGGGCGCGGGGAGGGCGCCGCTCACCTCCTCAGCCACGGGCACCTCGTACTTGTCGAGCACGGCGAACTGCTCGTGCAGCGGGAGCACGCGGGCGCGCAGCGAGGGCGCCTCGCGCTGCAGGGCCTCCAGCAGCCGCAGGCTGGCGCCCAGCTCCTCCAGCGTCTCGGGGGGGCGGCGCACGCTGTGGGCACACGGCGGGCACTGGCACCGGGGCCCTGCCGCCTCCCCTCTCCCTGGGGGGCAGCCGCTGTGGGGCAGGCGGGAGGGACACGGGGTGCCGGCACAGGGGCTGCTTGTGCACGGGTGTTGGCACACGGGGCAGCACGCGGGGGCACACGGGGGGCACACAGGGACACGGGGTGGCTGGTCGGACACGCGTGTTCCCATGCAGGTGGGCGTGCAGGCCGTGCAGGGGCATGGGGAGCACGCGGGGGGTGTGGGGACACACAGGGCCACGCAGAGGCCATGCGGGAGACACGCAGGGGACACGCAGGGGACACGCAGGGGACACGCAGGGCGCACACAGGGTGCACACAGGGCGCACACAGGGGACACACAGGGGACACGCGGGGGACACACAGGGGACACGCAGGGCGCACGCGGGGGACACGCAGGGGACACGCAGGGTGCACACAGGGCACACGCAGGGGACACGCGGGGGACACGCAGGTAGGCGGGGGCTGCTCATGCGCAGGCATTGTCGCACAGGTAGGCGTGCAGGCTGTGCAGGCACGCACAGGGGACACGCAGGGGACACGCGGGGGACACGCGGGGGACACGCAGGGGACACGCAGGGCGCACACAGGGCACACACAGGGCTCACACAGGGCACACGCAGGGGACACGTGGGGGACACGCAGGGTGCACACAGGGGACACACAGGGGACACGCAGGGGACACGCAGGGGACACGCGGGGGACACGCAGGGGACACGCAGGGCGCACACAGGGCACACACAGGGCTCACACAGGGCACACGCAGGGCACATGCGGGGGACACGCGTGGCGGGGGCTGCTCACGCGCAGGCGTTGTCGCGCAGGTAGGCGTGCAGGCCGTGCAGGGAGCACAGGGGACACGGAGGGCACACACAGGGCGCGCACAGGGGACATGCAGGGCACACACAGGGGACACACAGGGGACACGCAGGGCGCACACAGGGCGCACACAGGGCACACGCGGGGGACATGCAGGGGACACGCGTGGCGGGGGCTGCTCACGCGCAGGCGTTGTCGCGCAGGTAGGCGTGCAGGCTGTGCAGGCGCGCACAGGGGACACGCAGGGCGCACACAGGGCACACACAGGGAACACGCAGGGGACACGCAGGGGACACGCGGGGGACACGCAGGGGACACACAGGGCACACGCAGGGGACACGCGGGGGACACGCGGGGCGGGGGCTGCTCACACACAGGCGTTGTCGCGCAGGTAGGCGTGCAGGCCGTGCAGGCGCGCACAGGGGACACGCAGGGCACACACAGGGAAAACACAGGGCGCACACAGGGCACACGCGGGGGACACGCAGGGGACACGCAGGGCGCACACAGGGCACACGCAGGGGACACGCAGGGGACACGTGGGGGACACGCGGGGGACACGCGTGGCGGGGGCTGCTCACGCGCAGGCGTTGTCGCACAGGTAGGGGTGCAGGCCGTGCAGGCGCGCACAGGGGACACACAGGGGACACGGGGACACGCAGGGCACACGCAGGGGACATGCGGGGGACACGCAGGGTGCACACAGGGGACACACAGGGGACACGCGGGGGACACGCAGGGGACACACAGGGGACATGCGGGGGACACGCGGGGGACACGCGTGGCGGGGGCTGCTCACGCGCAGGCGTTGTCGCGCAGGTAGGCGTGCAGGCCGTGCAGGCGCGCACAGGGGACACGCAGGGCGCACACAGGGCACACACAGGGAACACGCAGGGGACACGCAGGGGACATGCGGGGGACACGCAGGGCGCACACAGGGCACACGCAGGGCACACGCGGGGGACACGCAGGTAGGCGGGGGCTGCTCACGCGCAGGCGTTGTCACGCAGGTAGGCGTGCAGGCCGTGCAGGGAGCACAGGGGACACGCAGGGGACACGCAGGGCGCACACAGGGCACACACAGGGCACACGCAGGGCACACGCAGGGCACACGCGGGGGACACGCGTGGCGGGGGCTGCTCACGTGCAGGCGTTGTCACGCAGGTAGGTGTGCAGGCCGTGCAGGGAGCACAGGGGACACGCAGGGGACACGCAGGGCACACGCGGGGGACACGCAGGGGACACGCGGGGGACACGCAGGGCACACGCAGGGCGCACACAGGGCACACGCAGGGGACACGCAGGGGACACGCAGGGGACACGCAGGGCGCACACAGGGCACACGCAGGGCACACGCGGGGGA